GTGATGTTGTGTGAGTGATGTTGTGGGTGAGATGTTGTGTGAGTGATGTTGTGTGGGTCAGAGCGCCGGTGCCCAGCCGGGCGTACATCAGAGAGGAGGAGGAAGGAGGAAGGCGGAGCGAGGAGGTGCAGCAAAAAAACAAGAACCCCACACGACAATGTGGGGAAAAAGGGTTTAGTTTTGCTTGTGATTCAGTGCTTGAATGTGCCAATAGCATACCGCGCAGCTTTGAGAGGCGTTCCTTTTTGGCCTTGATGCCGAGGTTGGCGCCAAAATTACGTTCTTTCTCGGAGCCTTGGTGCGGGAGAGGTTTAGCAATTTGCATTCAGCCGGCATTCAGCACTGTTTTTCCACTTGCCTTGCTCCGTGTGAGGAAATTTTGGAAAATTGTGCTACCGCTCTTTTCTCCCAGGCGCGCAGCAGCGCGCCGGCCTAGTTTGGTGTGGTTGATTTATGCCTGTCGAGGTGCCCGAGGGCTTGCTACCGACTGTCACCCTCTCCTTGATGCACCGTGGCTGCGACAGAGAATTTCCAAGGTTGCGTGCCCCAACCACACACTGCTCGAGTGATGTGTCGATGCAATCATATATAAATCATAAAACATGTGTATATATACACACATGGTTGTGTGTGAAACCCTCGGGAGTCCTTTGAATTTGTTCTAGCAGGGGGGGGCAGTGACAGAGTTTGTGGAATCACTGCCGACGAAGACCTCCACATTCTCTGGTGAAGCATCGGGAGACGTCCTGATGTGTACCTGCGTTATACTTGAGAACTTCCCACTCAGTCCCGGTGTAATTAGAACAAGATCTTGCTTTTGGCTTCGGTTCTGCAGTAACGTGCTAATGCCCTCACCTTTCGTGCAGTCGCAACATGGAGGTGTTCAAATGTTGAGCTGTTGGGATTTCAGAATGGTTAAAGTCCGCTCCATACTTTCCGAATTTCAGGTTTGTTTCATCTGGACTCTTAGGTTTTCACTTAGGTTGGCTTGTGGCGAACCGCGATCGTGTCAGTACGCATTCAAGATTCTCAGAGAACTTGGAGTTTTTGTTGAAATTATGGTTGATTTGGATTGGCTTCATGGGTGCTCTGAAAGAACCTGGAAGGTCTTAAGTGATATTTCTTATAAGCAGTTGCATGGGTTTATTTAAAGGCTTACGCCTGACAGCCGGGCGCCGGCGTACTAGGGTAAGAGAGGTGTGGGTCGAGGTGACGGTAGGCGTCGCTCGCGGTGTTGGCGAGGTGTGGTGTCGGGAAGGGACCCGCCATGTTTCCGCGGAGTCTTCCATGGAGAAGACGGGGGCCGGGGTTTGGGGCACCCCGGCAGCACCCGTCCGAGGGACGGGGGCTGACTGCCCTGGTTGCTTGCAGCAACCAAAAGTCGGGAGAGCCGTCGGAGAGAGAGGAGGCACGTGGAGCGCGATGCATGCGGGGAGGCGGCAGCTGTCAGCTGGCAACAAGAGCGTCGCTCATGCCAGCCAGCCACAGCCCTGGTGAGGAGAGGCAGACGTCATTCCACCCTCAAGGACATTGTCTGCAAGTTGATGCGCCAGCAAGGCCGGCGGGGGTGGAGAGGTTGGGGGTCGAGGCGTCGACGCCGCAAGGTGGAGACGTAGAGTGGCAAAGGACTTGGACAGCATGCTGCAGAGAGTAGTTAGCAAGAAACAGTCGACGCCGGAAAGGGGACAAACAGTCGACACCGGAAAGGGGACAGATAGAGAGACTGGCGAGACGTGGGCTCAACAACAGGCGAGCCTGTGAACAGAGCAAGAGCATGTGCAAGCCAGAAACAGCCTCCAACCCAAAGACACCAGAAGCAACCAGCGCTGAACTCTCAGAGTGATAGGACGGCAAAGAGTAGAGTGCAAGAGAAGCTAGGAGACGGCTAGGGTTAGAGAGCAACAGCAACCAAGCACACCTGACCTTTTTTTGCATTTTGTGTTCGGTTTCAGCGGGGGGGCGTGTGAGCAGGGCAGGAGCACGTGCAAAGCAGAGCAACAAAGCCCTCAACGCCAAGACACCAGAAGCAACCAGCGTCGAACTCTGAGAGTCAGAGGACGAAGCTAGGAGACCGCTAGCGTAGGAGAGCAAGAGCAACCAAGCACACTCGACTTCTTTTTTCTCTCCTCTGGGTCTCAGCCATGGAGACCGAGAGTGCACGCGACGCACCGAGCGCATCGCCGACGGTGACGTCGGCTGAAGCCATGGAGACCGGCGGCGCCGCGGTGCGCGCAGCCGACATACCGAGAGCGTCGCTCACGGTGGTGTTGGTGGATTCGACGGGCTACGGTTGGTTGCCCGGGCAAAAGTTGGGAGACGCTGCGATGGATTTTCGCAAGTGTGGGGGCGTGGAGACGGTTGCGAGCATCGTCAGTGGGGGCAGCATTGTGAAGCCTGGCAAGAAGGATGGCACGAACATCCTCGACCAGTTCATGCAATGGGTCTTGGACGGCGGGGAAGAGACCCATGGAGGGGACGTGGAGGTGGAAGTGGGCGTGGTGCCAGCCCGCGACTCCGTGCGAGGGGCACGGTATGAGGCCCTCGCGGCTGGCATGTGGCGTGCCGGAGTTGAGCAAGAGCATCTTGGAGATGTCCCTGGTGCCTATGGAGAGGCCAAAAAGGCCTTGCACTTTCTGCCTGCCTGCGCGTCGGAGAGCATGGAGCGGGTAGTAGAGGCGGCGCGAGCCGAGCTGGAAGTGCGTCGAGCAGAGCGTCGCTCAGCCGGCGCTGAGGGAGCCCCCGCGTCAGAGCGTCGCTCAACCGGGGGCAGCGGGGCTTGGGTCCCCGTGGTGATCTGTGCCGGGTGGAACTGCAGCGAGGTGGAGAATTTGCAGGAGGCATTTGTCGTGAAGCAGCTCTGCGAGACGCAGACGTGGAGCGAGTTCCTTTGGGCCTGCTCGGCGCACTCTAGCAAGAAGCGGGCATGGGCCAAGACGGCACAGGCCTTGGACTTGGCACCGCCGAAGTTGTTCCAGACGAACCGGGAGGATCGCCCACAAGCTGCAGCCAATAAGGCACAGTTTACCCAAGGGTTGGAAAGACATTTTGTCGGAGACGCAGAGTGCGTCGCAGACATCCAGAGCTTGGGCGGTTCTGCGCTCCTCGCGCGCTATGAGAGCTTTCAGCAACCTGCCCATAGGGCGGACCTGTGGCGGTATATTCGCTTGTGGAAAGAGGGTGGAAGTTACTTGGATCAAGATGGCGTTGCTGCAGCCGTGGAGCACAACCTGGAAGAGATTTATGCGGAGGGAGAGAGATGCTTGGAGGGACACCGCGTCGCGCAGTCCTCGGGCCAGCGCGTCGCGCCGCCCACGGAGGTGCGAGCTTTGTCGCAAGTCCCGCACCTCCTCCTCAGCATTGGACAAAACCGCAAACATATCTTCCAGGGGAACATTTGGCACGCGTCCGCGAAGCACCCGCTCTTAGCCAGAGCGGTGGGACATGCGCTGGGCACGTCGCAGAGTCACCTGAAGCGATACCTGTTGTTCTGCGAGTTTTTGTGGGCAGACATCTACCTTTTCCAGGAGCAGGGGAAAGCCGAGCGCGACCGACGTGGGCGCACATGCTTGGGGGAGGAATTTCCAGTGGATGGTCACTACATGTTCACCACTAGTGGCACGAGGTATGCCGCCACCCGGGCATGGGGCTGGAGGTTTCCTACCGGTCGCCCTGGGAGCCATCGCGACACAGCGGGCAGAAGCGCAGAGCGTAGCTCAGCCGGAGCCACAGCCTGGCACTCCTGCCCTCGAAGCGCCGAGCGTGCCGCCCCTGGAAGCGCCGAGCAGCAGCGCCGCGCCGAGCGCCGAAGCGCAGCAGCGCGTCGCGCAGTTGCAGGAGACACCGAGCGCGGCGACCGAACCTGCGGCAAACAAGGGGGAGGTGCCGCCACTGGAGAGGACCATCACTCCGGAAGGCTTGGAGCGGATAATGGCAGTGGCGACGGGGCAAAGTTGGTATGAGGGCCTGACTCGGGCAGAGGTGGAGATCTTCACGGTGCAAGGCCTGAGAGAAGCGACCCGACGGGAGGGCTATCTCTCGTGCTTGTTCTGCAAAAGCAGAAAGAAGCAACAACTTCTTTTCCAAGGCGCCAACGAAGTCCGAAACCACTTCGAGGGCAACCACGAGAGGCCAGAGGCAACAGAAGCGCTCCCGCCTGCGGTCGCCGAGGAGATCGGTCAGGCTATGGCCAGACGACGGAGAAGGCGGGAGTGAGGGAACCAGGACAGCAAGCCGAAAGGGGTGAAAAAGATGAACATTGGAAGGATATTTTTTATTTTAATGTAAAAGTTGTATATAAAAAAAGGTGTTTGTGGAGGGGGGGGGCGCGCCCGCCGTCGCAACAGTGAGGTGGGCGTCTGGGCGGAGCAGGATGTGCGAGATCGCGTGGTTGCAGCGGCAGCGGTGCTCCCGGCGGCACCCCCAGAGCCAACGCTGTTGGACGCAGCTTTGCGCGCCTCCGGCGAGATCGCCGACTTCTTCCGCCGGCTGACAGGCATCTTGGGACCGTCCATCTCGGGCAACCAGCCTATGTTGGCGACGGCGCTGAAGGACGCCCATGCGCTGCCCAGCGTGCTGCAGAACGTCGTTCGGCAGCGTTCGGCGCAGGGCGCCACGTGGAACGACCTGACACAGTCGGAGAACGTGGAGTGGGCCGTGCACGATGGATCGGAGGGAGACCCCATGTTGGCCTATGTTGGCCCTACGTGGATCCATCTTGTTAGCTATGTTGAGCAGATGTTGGGGATATGTTGGCTACAAAGGGCACATCTTGGGCCCATGTTGAGCCTATGTTGGGCCTATGTTGGCCTACGTTAGGCCTATGTTGGCCTATGTTGGCCTAGGTTGAGCCTACGTTGGGCCTATGTTGGCGTATGTTGGCCCCATCTTGGCCTATGTTGGCCCTATGTTGAGCCATTTTGGAGGCTATGTTGGGCATATGTTGAGGATATGTTGGCTATCTGGGGCCTATGTTGGGAACATGTTAGGCAATTTATGTTGACCAAATCTTCCGAGACAACTTTTTACGATTTTTCCTTCCCGCAAAGCAAAAACACTGGAAAAACCTACGTTTTTTGACATCGCCAAGCTGAAATTCTCGGCTGCCGAGGGGCCCGAAACCCTGTAAAACACAGTGTTTTTTATACCTCACACACACGATACACTGTAAATTACAGGGGCTTCAGTGACCCGGTAGTGACGACGGGGTCCCCCCGTTTTCGTGACGAGGGTCGGCGGCAGCCGGCGCGCCCGTCTATAACCTTCGGTTACCAACCGAAGGCCTCCGGCAAGGACACGGGCCCGTGGCCGGCGCCCGGATTTACCAGGCTACCCCCTGCAGCCGCCGACCCCCAAGGGATAGAACCTTAGCGCTAGCCTTGCTCTATGTTAGCCTTAGCCTTGCCTTAGCCTAGCCTTAGCCATAGCCTTAGCCTTAGCCTTAGACTTAGACTCAGACCTTACTTTTTTACCTTTCCGGACCCGGGGTTTGTTGTAAAGGGGGGTTGTAGGATTTCCCAGGTATGCGTAGAAAATTGCGAACCTATTTTCTTCCATTGTTGTAGAATTTTCTAGGACTTCCTCTTGTGTTTAGGTTCCCAGATTTCCACCAAAATTGATTAATCTATTGTTAACCTATTTGATTCTAGTGCTCCCGGCAAAAGCCCTGGAATTTTCCTAGGACTGCTCTAGGCTTTGTTTAGATTTTGCGCTGGACAAGGTCCGGCCAGTGCCCGTGGTAACGTGAAAGGCTCTGGTAAGATTTTCGCATGCCTGTCAGGCGCCCGTGTCCGCGCCATGTGGCGTGTTGGTTCTAGGACGGAGCAGCGCAAACGGAAGCTTGGGCAGGTGGTGGCGAGGTTCTCGCGCCAGCGAGGGAAGAGACCGTAGCCATGTACATGCGGGCGGCACGCGCGCGTGGCGGAATGTCTGCAGTGCGGTAGGCCGGGGGGGGGGGACGGAAGGGTGTGGAAGCGGGTGGTTCCACGGTGGGAGGAAGGACGTTGCCCGGACGCGTGCCGCGCAGTGTCCCGTGCTCGCGCGACGCAGTCGCCAAAGGGAACGCCTGCGAGACAAAAGGCCACGGAAGGGAGCTGCTGGGCCAGCCGTGCGTGGGTGGACCGCGGTATTTTTTCCCAGATCGACCATCGGATGTCATCTCTTGCATGAACCCCGTGATGCGGAGCCCTCCTCCCCATAAAGGATATCATTGCCCAACAATTTAGACCCAACCCTTCACCACCAAAGCAGGTACCCAAAAAGTCGACTTTTTGGGTACCTCCCAGGTTTACCATCGGACGTCATCTCTTGCATGAACCCCGTAATGCTGAACCCTCAAGGATATCATTGCCCAAGAATTTAGACCCAACCCAGCACCAAAGCAGGTGCCCCAAAAGTCGACTTTTTGGGTACCTCCCGATTTACCATCGGACGTGAGCTCTTGCGTGAACCCCGTGACGTGTTGGGTTCTGCGGCCTGTGGGGCCGCAGGGCGCTGCCCATGGTCTAGGTACATTCAAGTGCCACAAGTGTCGGCGCCCGGACTTGTGCTGAATCGATCGGTTTCTCCCGGCGACCCAACCCATTACCACCAAAGCAGGTACCCAAAAAGTCGACTCGGCGCCCGGACTTGTGCTGAATCGATCGGTTTCTCCCGGTGACCCAACCCATCACCACCAAAGCAGGTACCCAAAAAGTCGACTTTTTGGGTACCTCCCAGATTTACCATCGGACGTCATCGCTTGCATGAACCCCGTGATGCTGAACCCTTACAAGAGGAAGCGCTAGAAAATTCAGGCAAAAGTATCCAACCGAAAACGTAACAACATCTAGACAAAGCCTAGAGCATTCCTAGGAAAATATTGGAAAAGCCTTTGAAAGTTCCATAGGTTAGCAAAAGGTTACCAATTTTTGGGGGAAATCTGGGAACCTAAAAACAAGAGGAAGCGCTAGAAAATTCTTGGAAAAGCATCCAGCCGAAAACATAACAA